TGTGTGTGTGTGTGTGTGTGTGTGTGTGTGTGTGTGTGTGTGTGTGTGTGTGTGTGTGTGTAAAAATAAAGTAAAGCAAAATAAGTAAGTTGACAATAAAAGGTATCAAACACGTCACTGATCATGAAATTCTCACCAGATGTTGGTAACAACCCATCCAATCCACACATACAAAGGAATAAAGCCATAGATGCCCAGAAATGAAACATGTAATAATGAGAATAATAATGTAATAATAATGAGATGCAGGGAAAAAGTACTAAACGCATAAAGAAAAAGAGGTGCAAAAAGGCATCAAGAGTCATGACACCAGCTGAAATCTATCAGTAATTAGAAAGCAATCCTGCCACTTAGTGTAAATTAATACCAGCTGGTTCAGTCCAACTGAAAAATGTGTCTCATTACCGAGGTGCCACACAACAAACATTTCATGATGGATAAACCAGTGAGCTCTCTCAAGACTTATTCTGGCATTTTCATATTCTTACCTTTCTGTCATTGGGGTCTGCACTCTCCTCATCAATGTCTCCCTGAAATAGAATATAGGAAATTGAAGTTTGTAAACTTGGTGTTTGCTCTTACTGTAGTACTTCATCAGTGCACAATTTCTCTTGAATCACCCGCAAATCATATTTTTGATATTGACTTATAGTGTCACTAGCAGCATGGCTTGAGGTCTAACTGTAACTGGCTCAGTGAATTGGACACCCAGCTCTGCACCACTGAAAAAAAATACTATAACTAGCCCAACCCCAGCAGTTAGTTCAGGCCAAATAAACTTAGCCATAACTGTCCTCCAACAGGTCCTCCCAAGCAGCTGGAAAATCAGCAGCTCAGTGACTATAAGGTTCCTCCTCACAATTTGGCCCTAAACAGAAGCACCCTGGTGCACCACAAACCCACATTTCAAATCCATTTTCCCCAGTCAGCTACACACCCGTAACTCTGGCAATTGGCCATTCCATTCTTAGACACATGACCCCGGAGACTCCAGCGACCATAGCTGATTGTCTTCCAAGTGCCAGAGCAAATCCCCCAGCTTACCTCTATTCAAGAGTGGAATAAGGAACTTAACATCCAGCAGTTTTATGGTTACAGTAATTCAGCGCGCTATAAACAAAGTATATCTATATGTGGTTTTGCTATTGGTAATTATGCATAAATCTAATCAATATAATGAATGAGATGTATTGAGATGAAAAGAGGATGCAGCATGGAAAGCGTGTGTGTGTGTGTGTGTGTGTGTGTGTGTGTGTGTGTGTGTGTGTGTGTGTGTGTGTGTGTGTGTGTGTGTAATAGGTGGAATAGGTGTGAGTGATGGGTAAGGGGAGAGAGGTGTGTGATACATATGACCACATGAGTATAAAAGAGGACTCTTAGGAAGGTGTGGTGTGTGTCCTCTATTGTCCTGAGGCTGAGTAGAGAGCAACAACAGAAGAAAGGACTTTGGAGTTACAAGTTTCACCTGGAAGACCAGAGGATTAACCACTGCCCAACCAATGTGAATTTATGAATTGGAATTATACTTTTCGGCTTTTACTCTGCTTGGCTGTGTTGGATTAAGGTCTCAAAGAAGTTGGAGGACTTTGTTCTGACTCACTGCTTCCCCATTTGGCTTTATCAGGCTTGAGACAGAGATGAGTGCATTCATCTCATGACCAGTATAAGAAATCAGCATTAGCATAGAGTAGATCAGTTAGATGAGGATTTGATTATTACTAATTGAGTCAGTCTTTGTTTTGCCCCTTCTAAATTGCTCCAAATATACTTTTATCCAGTAAAGATAAAAGCATTCATATAAATATTAGACCTTACAGGCTGCTCTTAGCCTATTTTCTCCTGGCCACTAAAGTATAACATAACCAATTTTACCCAGTGAACTGATCATAAAGAAGTGGTGCTGTTAACGGATGTGGCTGAGAAATCACACTTGACCTGCAATGCTACTTAAGCAGTGACCATCTGAGAAGGTTGGATAGACATCCAGTGAGAGCTAGGTGAGTCTCCTCAACACTGCCTCAAGAAACAGGTTCTGCATTGCCTGTCAGCGGAGCGCCTCTTGGAATCAAAAACTTGGATCTTTTGAATAAAGAGCAAGTCCAGACCTCCTGTATGGGAGTAACTGGCCAATTCAAAATGCTCAAGAACAGGCCAAATTGTGAAAAACCCCCCAAAAAAAACCTCTCAAATGTTTGAAATGTTTGAAGCCCATATTAATTTCTACTAGAATGATAGAAAGAGAAAAGTATGAAGAAGGAAAGCAAGAGCTCATTATCCAAGACTTACCACATCATCTATCCAACATGATGCAGGTTTAATCATGTAATGGAACTGGGTAAGTAGTGTTTGATGTGACTGCTGATAGAAGCAGCAGAATGAACTGAAGTGTACAACATATACTATCTGCTCATCAGACAGAGCTACACAGTGCAAATGGACAATGATCCAAAACAAAGTGTGAAAGAAACCCAAGAGTTTCTCAAGACAAGCAAATACGATGTTATCCAATGGCCAAGCCAATAACCTGATCTCAGTCTTTTCAGTTACTGAAGATAAAACTGAAGACAGGCAGGCCTTTAGACTACAGAAGAACCAATTCATTAATGTGGTTAATGCAATGCTTTGGTTAAACCCCCTGAAGAAAAGATGAAAGTCTAAACTTCACTGACTTTAAAACCAACTGTGGTTCTGTACAGGGGCAAAATTACCAACAGGAACCACAAAACAAAACAAAACAAAGTTGTATACACACCACTGATGTGTCACCAGCAAAGGAACCTTTACTGTAAGGCACTGCACCACCATTTTACACTCGGTAAACTAAAACCACAAATATTTCTAATCCAATAATTATTTGCTCTAACAAAGATACTACTTACATCATGAAGAGGATAAGCTGCAGTATACACCCCACTACCAAGGAGACTGGTGATACCTGCCAAGAAAGCATAAATGCAGATGTTCATACAGATTCTAAATTATAATACTCAAGAATATGACCGCATTGGGTCATTCTATCTCTAACCATTCAATTTTTAGAATATTTTCTGTTCGGCCATCTCTGATTTGCATAAAAAATTTTGAAATCAAAAGGTGTCTCATTACCAAGGTGTCACACAAGAAACATCTCAGGATGGGTAAAACCAGCGAGCTCTCTCAACACCTTTGCAACCTTATTGTTGCGAAGCAAACTGATGGCATTGGTTACAGAAGAATTTCAGGGCTTGCTTTGCAACCGAAGGATTTAGTCACCAACCAAAGGACTTGTGCATCTTGCAAGTTGTACAGAAAACAATTACTTAAATTACTGCTGCTAAAGGTGGTTCTACAAGCTACTGAATCATGCGATGTACTAAGTTTTCCTTGACTCCACAGAGACTCAAAAGTAACTGTACAATTGACTAATAAGTAGGTCAGGAATAGGAAAAGGCCTGAACACAACAGAAGACAACATAAGTGGATGAGTGCAGAATTCTTTCCTTGATTCTGTAAAACAGCTTCACAACATATAACCATGTCAAGGATGCTCTCGAGGAGGTACGCATATCATTTCACAAAGTCCAAAATTAAGAAACACCTTCCTGAATGTTCATACAGAAGGTTTGCCACTGCTTACCATCAAGACCAGGAAGGCCAACATAGATTTTACCAGGAAAAAAAGTCAAAAAGAGCTTGCCCAAATGAAACCCAGATTAACTTGAACCAAAATGATGGGATGAGAACAGTATGGAAAAGGAAAGAAACAGCTCATGATCTGAAGCATATCACATCAACTGTTGGCCATGGCTATGTATGGCTGTTAATGGAATTGGATAAGAAGTGTTTATTGATGATTCATCTGCTTACATTTAGATAATGACCCAAAGCAAACTGCAAACATGATTCAAGAATTTCTTAAGGCAAAGAAATGGGATGTTGTTCTTTTGTCAAGTCATATACCTGAATCCTAGACTTAGGGTTAGGGACTATAGTTAGAATAATGGTTATGGTTAAGGGTTAGGGTTTAGTGTGTGGTGTGATGGTGTTTCCAAGTCGGAAAACTATGACATCACAACAATGAGATTGGTTGCAGTACTTGCAATGCTGAACTTGGACCAACAACTGTAATACTGTTCCAGGAAACACAACAACACTGGAAATGAGATCATATACTGTGAGATAGGCCTCAAGACAGATATTTCTTTGAGTCTCTCTCTCACACACACACACACACACACACACACACACA